GTAGAAGTGGAAGAAGAAGGCTCTGAAACCAAGCCAGAAGTAAGACCCCTGAAAAGATTACCTGATCATACTAGAATTTAAATGGTTATGGGGTGCAATACCTAAATATTTCTACCTGGGTCTTTCTAGGAGTCCACTGACAATTGATGAAATGCATGTCAAGGATATGGAGAGGAGAGCCACTTCTCTAGAGTCACCCTTTTTACTGCCATTGATTTTTATTTTTTGATGCCAGCTTTCACTATGCTGATTTCAACCAGGAATCAAGCTGACTAGTCCTTTCTCCAGATGACCAGTGTGAAGCCAAGGGCACTGCTAGGAACAACACAGGGCGGTAGCTTCCATAATTCACCTGACAGCAGCTTTCCAAGATCCATATCACCTCTCAAAAGCGTTCACACCTCACCACAAGTACATATTCCGTGGCTGAGCTGCAGTCAGGGATCATTACCTTCCTGAGACTTGGTGTGCTTACACCCAACGTGCCCAAGAGCCGAGGCACACACAGAGAAACCCATCAGAGCTGTAACTCCTGGTCGGATGCAAAGCCACGTGCAGAGTGACTGCACTGCGCGTTCTTTGGAGCATGAATGCTTCTCCCTCCCTGTCCCACAATGTAGCATCAATCTTTTATTCTTGTTCACACCTCAATAAAATTATAAGTGTTCTTTTATTACTGCCATATGTACTGTCAGACACAAACCTCTATTGGATGCCATTAGACAATCTGAAAGTGGCTCTTGCAGGCTTGGTAAAAAAACAGCTGAAAAGGTGTCTCTGCTTAGATTAGGTATGAAGCTTGAGAAACCTATTTGTTTCCTTATTCCAGATTTTCACCAGTAAGAGAGAAATAAACTCAGTTTCTTCATCAGGAAGGGGATTTGAGGTTTTAAGTGCAAGACCTGGATGCAGTGGACAAATCCTTTTCTGTTAAGTCACTGTGTCAGTTCACATCCAGCTCAGGTGCCAGTGTGCTGTTAAATCAAATCCCTACGTTCCACAAAATAATTCTTTATGAAATTAAAATTAGGTTTTAACATCTGTAGCAAACAGAGGGTGTGCTCACATGTCACATCTGCACCTGTGCAAATACCAATTAACCCAGTATAATTAGTCACGATTTTTACTCATTACCACTAAGATCAGAATCAAAACCAGGATTTACCACTCTATTTTTTATTCTTCTTTCTCTTCCAGTTCATGAACTTTCTATCACTGCAGTGGACTGGGTTTTTACGTAGGTAGCCAGGTGGGTCCAATCAAAGAAAAAGAAACTAAAGTACTGCCACCAAACCCTCAGAACCAAATTCCCAAGAAAAACCTAAAATACTACCACCAAACCCTCAGAACCAAATTCCCAAGATCTCAGCACCTGAAAGGCAGATGTGATTTTCAGAAGAGTTTGTTTCTTATTCAACTACCCAAAAGAAGGGGTAAATCTTTGGCCATTCTCTGCCTCTAGCAATTTTTACCATGGCGCATATCATCAAAAGAAATCAATGCACAGAAAATGGAGTATTTTTGAGAAAATTTGGCTCCTACTGTGAGCCTTGAACCCTTCTGAAAATGGTGACAGAAGTGGCTATTTCATCACTGCACGAGGCTTTCCTGCCCTACTTCAGATTTTGTAACAAATACATGTTATGTGACAAGCAACAATACTCCTTCCCCATTATTTATCATCATTCATTAATCACACCTCAGCAATCATCTATATTATTTATTGTTATTATTCATTACATTTTGAATTAATAATAACCATAGCAGGGACTACCATTGTGAATAGCATGGGGAAAGACAGGATATTTTTGTGTGTCTTTTCACATGTAAAGTACTGGACTCCCACAGATTTTATTTATGAAGAAGTATGCTGTGGATATGAAAAGTAGGAAGAATATTGTAGCTCCTATAGTTTAAGTGAAGAAAGGCTTTTAAAAAGTATTACTTCTTATTATCCCAAATGATATAATTGACGAAGGGGAAAAAAAAAAGAAAAAAAAAAAAGGAAAAAGAGTCAGAAAAGCTTTCAGACACTGAACTCTTCTGCAAAATTGAACTAGGAGCAGCAAAATTTGCTTTTGGGTGCCATTATTTTATCACTGGATTGAAAGGAATGGATTAGCAACTGTTGTTAACATCCTTGTATGTACTCACAACTCTCCTGAGCACTATTTCTTTATTTATTTATTTTTTAAAATCTATTTCAGTACTGTATGGAGTTGCATCGATTTTGATGGAGCTTCTGGCAGAGAGATTTATCTCCAGGATGGCTTTCTGATCACTTCCAAAGATAGAGATTGTGATCCCAATTGAAATGGGAATCACTACTGAGCTTAAAGAAATGTAACATCCCTGATCTAGATGTGCATCAACAGAAAGCTTGTTAAAGTATTCCTGAAAGCACCCAGTAAAGGATAGTTCATAGCTGTCCTTGCTAGTTAATTTAAGAGCTAGAATTTCTTCATCTAACATCTGCTTGGAATTAAAGCTGGTACTGATTGTCTTATACCCTCAGAGAACAACTGATCCTCTGCTAAAATGTCCTTTAGCATATTAGAAGGCTGCATTGTGTCTTCTTTCAGTCTTTTCTTATTAAGGCTTAACTGCTCCAACTTTCCTCACAGGTCCTGTTTTCTGAAACTTTTCTGCTCTTGCTGGCATCTGTTTGAATTTCTCCAATTTGTCCATGTTATAAAACAGGATACCCAGAAGACCTCATACTCCAACTGAAGCCTCCTCAGTGCCCAGCTAAGCATAATATACGATCTGCCTGGTGTTACTTTCTAGAGTGAGATTTGCCTCTTCTCACTGTTAATTCATATTCATCTTTTGCAGTATTATAACCCCTTGATCCTTTTCCACTGTACTCCCATCAAGGCAGTTATTCTCCGTTTCATGGACAGAGCTGTGATTTCTCCTTCCTAAGGAGTCATTTGCACCATTGTCCTATTGAATTTCATCTTGTTGATTTCCTACTGCTCCTCCAACGTATCAGAATCATTTTAAATTCTAATCCTGTCTCCCAGGCTGCTTGCAGTCTCTTCCAGCAAAGTGTCATTTGTAAATTTTATAGATGTGCACCTTAGTACATCATCCACATGGATAATGAAAATATTGAAGAAGTGTTGGACTCCAATTCTAATGTCCTTCCAGTTTAAAGGAGAACTATTCATGTGTGACTTCTCAGCCAATTGTAGGCCTATCCTGATCTAGAGGACTGCCTCTAGATCATATTTTCCTGGTTTGGTTATAAGAAAACAAAGTAGGATCATATTAAAAGCAAGATACATCACAACTACTGCATCCTCCTAAACCACTATGGCAGGTGACTCTGTTAAAGAAGAAAATTAGATTGATACAACAGGATTTATTCTTTGCAATCCCATGTTGGCTGCACCTTTTATCATTTTATTATCATCCAGGTTCTTACAAATTGATTGTTTAATAGTTTATTCTATTATTTTTCTGGGTTAAAATGACTAGTCTATAATTCCCTGGGTCCACCTTTCCCCTTTCCAAATGCAGGAATTATGTTTGTCCTTCTCTGGTCCTCTGGGCCCTCCCCAGGATCAGTGAGTAGTTGAAGGTAATTACTAATCATGCAGAGACTGCAGTAGCTATTTCCTTGAGTTTTGTGCAGTTAGTCTGACTCAAATGCAAGTCACTTATATGCTCTTTAACCCATTTGCCTCCTATTGTGGAAAATTCTTGTGCTTCACAAGATCCCTATTATTTTTTTCTTGGTCACCTACCCACTGCAGTCTGTATTTCTCCATCTGCATTCTTTCCAAAGTCTTTCAATTTGGTGGTTGAACTTCTGCAATTCTCTCCTTGCTTGTTTGCACTATTCTTTTGTATTGATTTCAGTCCCATATCAAGGTATTTGCATTTGATTAATACTTTATTTTAATTTGTCAAGTCTTTAAAGACATCTTTGTGTGTCTGTATGGGACTCTTGCTCTTCTTCCTGCATTGCTGTAGTATTTACCACTGTCACTTTAACACGATCACTTTTATCAGCTGCCAAATATCCTGCATCTCTTCCCTCTTGTGAAGTTCATTTATCAGTTTCCTGCATTTGCTCCACTCTGCTCTCTCTCTTTTGCCTTTCTTTCTGCCTTCTCTTTGAATTCTAAATCCAACAGGTTTATGGTCACCAGTTTCACAGAGGTTTATTTCCACCGTCTAATTCTGACCAAGTACTTCAGGTTAGGACTACATTAAATAGTCATTTATAAAATACACAAACAATCCTGAGAGAAGACGCCAAGCACTGTAAGTCTTTCCCTTTTTGTATGAGTCCCACCATCCATTACTACCTATCAGGCATTCAGGATCAGATTTTAATTGGATATGCCATAAAAATTAGGACTTGTATAGTTACAACCTTCAAGTCTGGCAGCTGAATAATTCAGCTTTTCCATGTTTTCATCCATCTGTGATATTTTACTCCATCTATCTCCACAGCAGTATGTTCTATAGATTACCATTCCCTGTGGGGAGCTGTTACTTATGTAGGTTTCTTAAGGATCATATTAAGAAAAAAACCCAAGTCTTTTGCAAAAAAAATAAAACAAAACAACAACAAAAAAAAACCCAACACACAATCATATGGCTAATCACACTAGGGTCTCTTGAAACCTTTTTCTACTATTCCTCAACTAATATGCATAGGAAAATAACAGTAATAATAAAAGAGAAAAAGAAAGGAGTTGTAAGTTCAATAGCAAGAGCCCACTGGAGTCAGGCCAGGGACCTGCACACCAGCCCTTAAACTTACAGTGCGTCTGATTGTGGGAGTTTGTGTTTGTGTGTGTAGGTTCTAAGCGTAGAGAGTGTCCTTTGATATTCTGCATACAACGTCCACGACCCCTTTGGGCTACCTCTCATGGAGCTGGCAGAGAGACCTTTTCCCATTCTGCCAGCATGTGCTGATCCACACACCTGCTTTGCCTAGAAGGTAAATTCCACTCAAATAAAACAGTTTGAAGCTTCCTTACCTTGTGTTTGGTGCTAATGAGCCCATGGGTGAAGTTTGCATCTGAAGATCTTGGTTTGCCAAGAAACCCCTATTTCTTCTTGCTGTCTGTGAGTTGGCCTCTTCCCCAAACAACTAAGCCATGAGACAGGAAGGGCATCCTCTCTTTAAACCATCAATCATCCCCTTAATTGGTGATCAGATGCTGTGTGAGAGACCTGGCAGGTGTCAGTTCATGGCTGTGTAATTGAATGCAGCTTGCTCTGCTGCATCCCTGCTCCTCGGCTCCGCAATATGTTGGGGAATCAATGCAAGCCTTAAGTGGGACTTACAATGGCAGAGGGGAAAGAGAAACAGGAGAAGGCAGAAGTTTATCTTTCTCCAGAGCAGTGGCTGGGTGACAGCTGAGGCAGTGGGAGTTGAAAGGCATCTCAGACGTGCATCGAGATGGTTATCTGACAGCAGAGAAACTCCCAGTCACTGGCTGTCCCGTCTCATCACCGTCAGCAGCTGGAAGGAAATGGGTGTACATGGGACTTTCACTACACGGCCTAGAAAAACGAAAGGAAGAAACTTGTGACATGCACTCCTATCTCCCTCTGTTGATCTCATGTCTCCTTTAGTTCATATGCTTGATCTTTTCTTTGGTTTTGCCCCTTCTCACTCACACGGGGTGTAGGTACACCATCATACATTCAAAAAACACAGATTGGTGTAATCACGCTGTAAAATTGCTGAGAATTAGAAGAAACGTGCTTTCCTTCAGGATAGATATTTAAGCTTTGGATATTTTGGCTTCCTCAAGATACCAGTCATCTAACTCCTATTTAGGTGACTAACTCCTATTTTAATCAGCCAAAGCTAGGTACTTAAATATCTTTGAAGAGCTGGTCCCCAGTGTCTACAGGGTCCAATCACCGATTCATCAGTCCCTGGATCCAATCAGCAGTGATTGATTTAATGATGTCAATATTCCTTTCCACTCCTCCATAATTTCCTGTCCCTGCCCTTTACAACTTTATAGGAAGCAACCCATTATGATAATTCAGTATTCCTACTGCAGAAAACTAAGTTGAAAATGAAAAACAAAATTCTACACAGACCCAAGAAGCATCCGTAGCAGCAGCATCAGTGTCCGGGCTGCTATTTATTGAATTGTTTATCTATAATGCAATGCCACAGTTTAAAAAATTAAATTAGACTAATTATCCTATTTAAGGAGATAACTCTCCTGTTGCTACCACTCCCATAATTTTCTGCATTTCCATCTCCTAAATTATCCACTTCTAGGCTTTTTTCTAGCCCTTATATATCTGAAAAAAAATATCCTTCGAGGTATAATTAACTTTTTCATTCAGAATCCTAATTTCCTCGCTCAGACATTTTCTGCAGTGTTTAAACTATTTATTATGCAAACTTAGAGAAGTCAAACTATGAATTATGTACAAATCTACGTATTGGAGTTCTCAGCTAATCACTGCATCTCTGTGTCTTGTGGTTCAAGGTAACCAAAGTGCACAGAGTGGAAAATATCAGTCCAGCACTCAGCATATAAATTTTTTTCCTCACGTTAAAGACACCCTTTCCCTCAAATTAAATAACATAATGTTATCTTTTTGATGACATTTTTTCAAAATTCTGTTTTCAGGTAATTTCTTATCACCCACTGCTATGTTTGCCTTCCTTCACATCATACTTCCTTCATCTCTTCTCTCAATAAACTGCAGTCAGACACGTGAAGACTTGCAATGACTCCTTGCGACTGGTGAATGTCTTTACCCTTGGTGTTAGATATTTTTTTCCCTTTTCCCTGATCTTGGTTCATTTGCTTATTCTTTCCCCTTGCATTTCTTGGGGTTTATGTTGAGATTTTACATATTGTAACTGTGGGGCTGGGGACTGCCCTGTATGCATCATGTACGCTTGTACTTATCAAAAGCATTTGTTTTTACACGTAATTTAGGCTTTAGCATCATCATAAAGGGTACTGTTGTTGTAATGAAAGCTACACAGGGCTCCAAGCCTAGACTAACACCTTAAAGATATAAAAAAAAATTATATTTGTGGTCCAAAGGATTTTGCAATCTGTGATTATACTTTCTGCTAATTAATAGCACATCAGTGGCTATCTATCCATCCTGTCAGCAAGAAGATGTTCAAAACCCCCTCTAGCTTTTCAGTGGCATATTTTCTTGCATCTCTCTTTTAACCAAAATGGAATTACATTGCTTGGAGAAACCTTTTCTCCCCCAGTGCATGCAACTTGAAAAAAAAGAAAGGAAAAAAAAATATGCTTTTATTTATTTTTTGCATATGGGATTTTTCTGATTCATTAGCAGAGAAAGCAGACAAGCACTGTGGGGCTACGTCCAGTGAGACAATTCTGATTGTACAAGGCTGCAATGCTTCACTGAAATCTGTTCTGTTGGGTGGAAAGCTGGATCTTTGTCCAAGAAAATGGGACTTACTTCCCCTAAATTTAGCAGCCGAAATGTCAGACATTCAGTCTAACCTACCAGCCCAAAACTCAGTCATTCCAGACTAAATAGTTTTCAAAACAGTTGGGATAAAATGTCATCTTGGAATTTTTCTGTATGTTTCATATATATAAAAATAGACTAAACTACGTATGAACATAGACCAGACACCTTGGAAAACCTTTACTGTCCAAGGGTAATAGTTGGACAGGGAGCGAAATACACTCCTGAATCAAGGGGGAAAATCCCTTCTCTAGGAAAATTCTTTGGGTAGGCTTTAATTTATCAGGGCCTTAAAAATCCGTGGCTTTTAAGCACAGCAAATGAATGTGTTGCTGAAGCTGTTTTCACATTCAAGCCCAAAGACAAAGATGTATATGCTTCTGGAATGAAGCTTGACTAATAGATAAATACTATTAAACGTGTGCAGCTGAAGAAGGAAAGCTCCAGGTTGTTTACTGGGAAGACTCTTTTAACCCTGAGTTTGAATTCAGTGCTTTAGTTCACATTTACAACCTCGTTGAATGCACATTTTATTCCATGTCTTCAGCCACCAGCCCAGTGGACATAAGGAAAAGACTAGTACATACAATTCGTTAGGAAACAGAGGATGGAACTTGTGAAGATGGAAACCAAAATACTAAGGTTCTGTCTGTGAAGTCAAAAAAGATTTTTAGGGTCTTTGGGATTTTATTCCATGTGGCATCACAGACCTTTCTCCAGACAGATTCCTCTAGAAACTGGGCAAGAGATCAAGCCTGGCTTCAGTATGACTCTGCCTCCTTCACTGTGACTTTGTGAGGAAGATGGGTCTTGCAGCCTCCCAAAAGGAGAAGAAAAGGTGTTGTTAAAGACTTCTGTAGCTATGTCTCAATTCCTTCGTAATCAGCCTTGCTTCATTATTAAAGCACCCTGCATGCTCTTTTCACTCATGCACATGTGCATGTGCATGAAGTAGAGGAACTTGTTTGGATTTTGGTTTTCTTCTCCACCCTTTTGGAGGTCAACAGCTCCAGAAGAGAAGGATGTTTGCATCAGCCTAACTGTAACCCTAGTGAGCTTAGTTTAACTCCTAAGTCAGGCCCAACTGGGACCCAAACCTGCAATTTCAGAAAAACTGGTGGGAACTACAGACCTTGTGATTTGGCCCCTTAGGCCATCCCTTCAGTCTTGAAAGTTCAAAAAAAGTGTGAACCAGGAGAAGAAATGATTGCAGGCGAACTCCTGAGCTGGGCCATCAGATGGAGAGTGGGAAAAAATGAAAACAAGTTAAAAATAGCTTCTGCAAAGACAACTACAGGCCGGCAGATTTGAAAAGCCGAGTTCCTCATCAGGGATTCTCACTATCTTTTTTATTTATTGCTTTTGACACCTGGTGTATCATGTCAGGAATTCTTCTGGCTCTTCAGCCTCCTGACAGATCCAGTGAGCACCAAATGCCTTCCCAATGCATCTGCTTCTGTCCTAGCAACAGGCTCAGGATGCAACCAAATCCCACTGTGATCAGGGCTGGACAAGTTGAAGGATGGATAAGATGGATGCATGATGGCTGCTGAGAGGATGAGGCTGAAACCCGTGTCTAGGAGACTTAAAAGACTGACTCTAGCAAATAAAACATGCACAGCAAGCGGATCAGATAATGTCAAATCAAATCTTATTTATCTCATCAGTAGCAGCTCTGCGAGTTTCTTGCTTTCACTTTTTTTTACTATTTTTTTCCGGGATGTCTCTCATTAACCTGCTTTTCTCTGGATTTGTTTGTGCCTCACTTTGGCAGCTGGCCAGTAGAAAACAGAGCTTTAATTCCACAGACTGTAGATTGTGTCCCAGTTATTAAACCATATTTATTTCTCTGTTTCCAGAGTTTTGTTTTAGGCTTGGGATTTTTTTTTCCACTCCCTAGCCTCCCTAGCTCTGCTTTTCTTTTTTTATTTTTTCTTTTCTTTTTTTTCTTTTCTATTTCTGTGTTATTTTGCTTTTCTCATTCCTACCAAAGAAAATAGTGTAGAGATTTTAACCCTTGTGGTGCCAGCAACCAAAATGACTTCCCATGTGGCACATGGGCCAGCCTCAGGCCCCTGATTCAAGGGCCAGATGTTGCTGTGGAAAGGGTCCTGGATGATGTAGCCCCTGCCAGTGCTGGGGGCTGAACGCAGCGATGCATTGACACCGTGCCAGATGTTGCCTGAGGCTGAGTGTGGCATTGAACGACTCTGCTGGTGAGCTGTGGGAGCTGTGGTTTGATGTGACAAACTGGTCCATGGGGTACTTTGACAACACAGAGTACCCTCTGGAGACTTCATCAGTCAGTGGGTGAGGTTTTAAGATGTGGGAAGGACATTCGTACTGCTAAACTTCAGCATTTAAACTTGGAGTGGTTAAGTTGGTTGCTGAGCCTTTAGGTGTTGTATGGTCAGTGAAGAAAAAACCTTTTCCAGGAGACAGTTTGAGAGGAGACCTGAAGCTTCCCTGCACAAGTCTCTCATTTCTGAACTCTCCAGGAATACCTCAAAGACAAGATATCTAAACTTCAGCGTCGTAAGTCTTCCCTTCTCATAAGCAGAAACCATTTTTGCAAACACAGACTCACAGTTCTGCATCTTGGAGTTTGAAAGAGAGTTTAGGCATCTGTGTCCTTATTTTAAATAGCCCTTGTGCCTGCTGGAGCATGGACCCACAGATAGGAGCAGCAGAGCTGAATAATCCACATTCAAAGCTGGGCTCAGTCCAAGTTACCACTGTGAAAATTCTGGTTGCACAACTCAGGCAGAACATTTAAGCAGTGCTTGGGAAAGAGGTTCATTCCCTAAGCTTCACCAGGACTCAGCGATGCCCTTTCCCACCTAGAGCTTGGGATGGGACAAGTCTGAAACTAGAAGCAATGTGTAAGAAAGGCAAATAGTCCTGTCCTGCTCATAAGACGACCCTGAAGGAAATACAAGGAGACATGTTTTATCAGAGGATATAATCAGAAAAATCTTTTTTAAATTGTCCATTTCTTCACTGAATATCATCCAAATTCTGTAATTATGCAATATCTTCTTTTTTTAATTGTCTATTTCTTCACTATCATCCAAATTCTGTAATTATGCAATATCTTGAAAATTGGGAAAGCCAGCTTCTCACTTCTGCTACTAGGAAAAAAAATTAAAAATCAGTCCATTGTGTTTCACCCAGTGACGTCTTTTTTCTCCATGGAGGTGCTAAGATGGCTCATTCACTCAAGAGATATTACTCAGAGGTTCACAATCTATCAACCTGGCATAGAGAAGATGGATGGCAGATTCTTTTAAAAGACATGTTAGTTTACACAAGTACTCTGAGAACTGTATTTCAGATCAACCCATTCAAAGAAAGACAGGAATTGTAAGAGACAAAAGTACCCCTCCAATTTTCCTATCAAAAACTGTTGCTAACATTTCTAGCACAGCTGCTATCCGAATTAAAGCCTATGGTGTTTTAAAGCACAGGCAGAAAAAATACCATTCTATGCTATTTCTAGTTTCCACTGAGCACTTCCCAATCCTATGAGAAAGAAGAGATACAGAAAGATCAGGGCACAGACATTAGGTATGTTCTTAAGTCCCCATTGAAATGCTTTCAGTAAGGACCCAGCATGGATGAAATCAAAAGCTCCGGAAACGACATTTAGAAGCCAGACAAAGGTTTCTGTTTAAGGCCTGCCTCCACCTCTTATCAATTCCTTCTGCATTTTATGAAATGTTTGTGTTTGCCGGCCTTTCACTTCCCATTCATTCTGAAGATCACTCCTAAACTGGCACTGGCCAAGCCAAGGAATTATTGGTGTCCCTTCAACAGAGCGGACGTGGGAACCAGATGGTGCATAGCTCTTGGGCTGGCAGGGTACACAAAGTTGAATTTCAATGTCAATGAGCAGCTAAATGACTGAGGGCTCATCCACACACACAGTTTATTCACTAGTCAGAAGACATCTAAACTGAACTGTCACAGACACTTAGTGCAGAAATACTTCTATGGCTTCAAGATAGCAAATCTGAACGTTGACTGTCTCAAACCTGGTACCTGCATGTGTTTATGAGGTCAAATTTTACATAGCAAGTTATCACTTATCCTCTAAATATCAGGCTGGCCTTTCTTCAAGTATGCTTTTTGTTTGCTTCAGTGTTTTTTTTAAATCTTTTTTCCCTCGCTAGTGCTAATAGTATTTTTGAAGCACATAAAATGTTGTCACAGAGTTCCTAGTTATTTACTTTTTTCCCTTTAAATCCCTTTACCCAAATGATTGGGTTCATAATAGCTTTCATCTTTGTGAAATCAGCCCTGTGTACGTGTGTATCTGTGTGGTTTGGACATTATTCCATTTGCATGTAGCAAGTGTAATCAAGTCTATGTCACTTGCATCTAAACAACTCTCTGACTTAATTCTGTGAGTGAATTCTCTTTATCTGTCAAGATGATGAAGTCTAGCACCATTTTCCCCCCTGTTGGATAAAACACTTTTAAAGTTAGGAAATTGTCATCTTCATTTAAAAAAAAAAAAGAAAAAGAAAAAGGATATTTTAGTTCTAGCAGCATGAGCTCTCCTTTATGTGCCATTCAGATTAAAGTCTTTTTCTTCCTACATATAATAGAGAGGTATTTAAAGAGCCAGACAAGAAATCAAGTCACTATCTGGTCTGCAATGGATAGGAGTCAGGACCTGATATGGTCTTTATTTGTGAGAACATTAGTTCAGGTCTGTTGCTTCTGAGTTCTCAGAGACTCAGAAACACGCAGTGCCATTTTTGACATAAGAATACAGCCCTCTCACTTTTATTTGCCCAGTTCTGCTCACTAAACAGTTTGTAACCAGTGCTTTTAACATTCCAGTCATGCAAATCTTCCCATCAGGTTTCAGTAACACCAAAGTAGGTCGAATTCATGCCTATATGTGAGCAATTCCTATCCCTCCTTTACTACCCAGAATCTTCACTTTGCCGTACAGGCAATTAAAGATTTTCTATTCCTTCAAGTCTCTTGGTACCTCTATTAATCTGGTTCTCAACATCTTGATTTTGTGCTAAATTGGTGTTCCCCATCCCTTCTCTTCATCCTTCCCTTTGCTGTTAGTGTAATGCTCTTCTCCACCCTGCCTGCCCCACACAACCCCTCCCCTTACACTGGCTCCTCTTCTACTGAAATAGATTTTCTCCAAAAGGCACAACCTCGTGTTCACAGAGGACGACAAATAAAATGACATGCTCTAGCTGACACGATTCCATTATAAATTCACTTCCAGAATTTTCTGCCTTCTGTCTTACTTCATAGGGAGGAAGGCTGCCCCAGAAGATTACTTGGGCTTGCCTGTTCTTCAGCTGCCTCTTTCCACGAGTGTATGTCCAGACTCTTCTGTAACAAGTGAGGTTCTTTATAAAGCTGAGTTACTTAGGCTAAGACATATTGCTCTTACCAAAAACTTGCCTAATGGGATCAAGAATCCTGCCCATTTTGATGTCTAATGACAGCAAAATGCTGACTAATGAAGTCTTGTCTATTTTTTTGCTTTGTTGAATGACCAAACCAGCCCATCAGTCTTTGGACAGCCTTTCTCTCATTTCTTGAGAGATAGTCTGAGAAAGGATCGCGTTTTTCTTTGGCTCTTGGCTTTCTCTTTCCTCCACCCCCTCTTTCTCTTTTTTAATAGATACACACAATTTTCTTTTAATCTATGCTATGAGTACATTCTCAGTCCCATGTAGATCCCTATTCCCTTCTACTAATTGGATCATCAGAGATAATTTCCTACATAACAGCCTAAGAGACTAGAAACAACTGAACATTTTCAGTTAAGTGAAAATTATTCTGTTTTCCTTCTGTTTAGGGCTCCGATTCTCACGACACTTGCCATGTAGTAGGTCACCAAGTCCTTTTGGTACTGGCAGGTACTGAATGTCTGATGGGGCGATACTGGTCTCAGCTCTTCTGCAAAGCTCATGGGAGTTCGTGCAATATTACTGTGATTTGCTATGATTACTATTTCATTAGCTGAGATTCTGCCTTCCCACAGTACCCCCAAACATCGTCTACACGTTGCAGAGAAGGGAAGCCATTCCTGGTATTTGCCAGAGCCTGTGTCATGGTGTTCTAGTGACGTTCATCTAACCATGTTGCAGCCATTCCTGGTATTTGCCAGAGCCTGTGTCATGGTGTTCTAGTGACGTTCATCTAACCACCACCAGATCATTCCCTCCCTTCAGAGCGGTCCCTGGTCACTATGTTCCCTTTGAGGATGAGCACGTTTGACTTCATTCACACAGGGAGGCAAGACACCAACGCCAGCTCCCAGCAAAAGGCAAGGTCCAACCCACAGCAAGGTGCTGACTCACCCAAGGGTTTCCAGTGACCGATGCTTTCCTTAAAAACTAGTACTTTTAAAAGCAGATAAATAATGAACTTCAAGGCACATTTTTGCAGCTCAATGGTGACATCCAGTGACTGGCTCAGTTATTCCCAGGTGTGTATTCTGCAGGGCCAGGCCATTCCCGTTTCTTGGCTCCGAGAGTGGCTCACATGTCTTTTACAATCACATCATGTTCATTCTGGAAAATACTTTAAAACAAAATCCCTGTTTAGATTTGCATAATCACTTAATTGCAGTGCCTCACATCTCTTTTCTTCCTGTTGAGCAGCGCTCTGTGCAGCAAGCACTGTGTCCATAAGCTCAGCTTACAGTCCTAATATACCTGAAAAGGTTTTAGCTCCACTGATGAAGGAATAACAGCTTTTAGACTGAATTTCATGAACAGCAGCTGTTTACCTTCCTGGTGACCTGAAATGATCTGAAATCTTTTATAAGCCAGGCCTGGAAATTGTTGTTCTGCAGTCACACCATGCCTACCTGAGGGTGCAGGGTTCAGGGGTGCTCTCCTGGGCAGAGACACAGCGGGAGCAGAGGCAGAGAAAAGGGGTGACGTTGGAAAGGAGCAGAAAAAAAAAAAAGACACATAGAGAAAATGGAAATGACAGAGAACAGGAAAATAAAAAAAAAAAGAGAAAGAAAAGGCAGAAAAACTTCTGGAGGGAAAGCTAGAAAAATAAAAAGAAGCTGAAGGGAGAAGCAGAGATGAGGCAGCAGGAAGAGCTGTCCCGGTCTCGGCGAGAAATCACGCCATTAAGGGATCTCAGTAGAGTGGAGATGGCGTGTATTGAATCTGCTCTGTCAGTGCAGCAGCACCCGGCTTTCCACGGTGATAAATGTCATATGTCTTTGCTGACACTTGATAAAGGTTCTGTCTATCAGCGGTGCCAGCCAGCGGGGCCAGCTGGCTCGAGCTTAACCTTCATCACTGCTCTTTCAAAGAGAAGTCCCAGAGTTTTCCTCTGTTCCTCCGCTCCCTCTTCGGAGATGCTTCCCCTCTTCCCAGCCCATTCACCCTGCTCACCTCAATGCTTTCTGGCACTCAGATTATATAAAAAAAAAAAAAAAAAAAAATAAAAGACAACGAGCAGCAGAAATAAAACTGTCTGACTTAGCCAGCCAAGGAGAGACAGTCTGGGGCTGGGCTCATCCAAGCAAGGTGCTCAAGTAGGATGGAAGATATGGAAAAATCATGGGAATGTTACAATAATAGAAAAAAAAAATAAATGATGAAACACACACTTCCCCCCCTCCCCCCCATTTCACCCTTCAAACTAGGCTTGCAGCTAATAAATCCAGACAGTTCCTCAGCCAGTGTTAAAAGAAGTGAGCTGACTTACCCAAAAGGATTTGGCCCTGTGTCTCCCAGGAGGGGAGAGGCACTGGTGCCAAAGGCACTAAAAGAACAGATCAATGGAAGCATCATTATATATTTAAATATACTTTGGATTCAGCTCTGAGAGCACTGGGAAGTAACTAGAGGCGTAACACTCCTCATGGGAAGGCCAAAACACCCTCTAAAAATGTGAAGAGATTTTAAGGCTTGTAGTCCTAATTGGAAAGTGCAGGCTGGCTACATTGTTAGCTTCATTTTAGAGGTTAAACCAAAAAAGAGAAGGTTATTTGTCTAAGGTCAAAAATGAGCAAAATGCCCAAGTGCAAAAATAGCAAGCAGCTGGTCAGCCTGGAATAAAATGAGGCTGAAAACAGCTCAGTTGCACAACAAAATGAACGAACACAAACCACCTGAATTGCAGCTATTCAGGAAGTGAATTATTCAGAAAGACTGAAGGATAAGAATAAATCATACATTAGCACATCAGGTTAATATGGCAGCAAATAACAGGAGAACAGGGTTATTTAGGATGTAGATAAATTCTTGTCAAGAGAGGTCATTTTTTTTCCTCCCTCTGGACTCAATGAGACAAACATTCAGTCAGTTCTGAGTATCTCAGCATCAACAACATATTGACAACTTGGAGGGGACTCAAAGAACATCTTCAGAGATGATTTAGGGACTGGAAGGATTGATTTACAAGGAAAGATTTTATGATCTAAGTGGAACGCATTCATCTCTACTATAATTCCATTGATGTCAAAGGGCCAAATTTTGCCCTCAATTACGACAGTGTGGCTGTGGTGAAACTTCACTGGAGTAAAAATATAAGGTCATAATTAGGAAAAAAAAAAAAATCAAAAAGGAATATCCATTAGATCCCAGACTTACCTCTGTGGAGAAATAGTAGAAACTCCAGTGCTTGTGACATTTAAAATTAACCAAGATAACAGGATTGAATAATATTATACAGAGACCTGCAGTGACAAGGGAAATAAAAATACATAAGTGCTATTTTCCCATATTTTTATTATTATGATGATTACTGTTATATGAAAGGAGGAATCCACATCTGACATCAACTTCCTATTGGCCCTTTTAAGCATAATGTATTTTAATACAGACAAAAAACATCAGGGGAAAATCCTTCTTTGGCAGGAAAGAAAATAAAGAGAGTTTTTAAAGCATGTTAGGGATAAAGGAAAACCTAACAATAGTATCAGCCTATTACAACGTGCTACAGCTGGTGATGATAAAGCAGAGATGACAAACTGTTAATAACGATGGAAAAAAGGCAATTCTATTCAATAACAGTTTATATACTGCAGTGAAAAGAGATGGCTCTGAGGAAAGATTTTAGAGGATGCCTGAAGTAAGTTCAGGTTGATTTGTAATTTGAAGTATGAACATGATACAGTCCTCACTACTGGAATCACAGAATTTTACCAACTGTTTGTATGCTGTAGTGGGGAAGAACTATTACCCCTTCACTTTTATCTCTAAGACAAAAATAATGCCCGTAACAGGAAAAAAAAAAAAAAGCAGGTGATTTTGGAAGCAGGGAGAGGACCTGAACAGGTTTCAGAGTTGTTTATGTCTAGATTTAGAAATAAATCAAGGCAGCTAATGTGCACAGAGTGTGTAGAGCAAGTCAGGCATAAGAACAGCCATGTCCATCGCAACACAGATCTGGAAGATAAGAGGGATCAAAATTCAAGCAAAAAGCACACTGCTTGTGTATGAGCATCACATCTGACTGCAAGGGCAGGATCCCTTCCAGAGAGAGAAACGAGGAGTGCTAAACTCACAATCCTGTAGGTGCATAAGCTGTTGTTTCTCCCTATTCCAAATTCCCCAAGAATGTAAAACAGGGCTATGAATAGTTACAGGGAGGCCCTGCCCTGGCCAAGGCCTAATAAGCAGGATTGATAAAAAGGAGTCCTAAAAAACCCATGTAATAATTGAAGAAGAAAATCTTTTAAGAAAGAGTGGAATGAAAAAGTAGGGGAAGGATTAGAAGACCACGCTTACAAGGCATGGAGAAGTGGACAGTGAGGATAAATCAGTTACAAGACTTGCATAAATGACCAACCAAGAAGTTGATTTTACTGTGACACCAGCCTTTGGATTGAGGTCTGCTGATGGCAAGGAAGGTGAGAAGGTCATTTAAGTTCACCAATAGTTGAACAACAGCTATTATAGAGCAGTCTGGACACATCAAATCAAGAAACAGTTTGGAAGATATCTATCCTGCAAATGCTAATACAAGTCAAAATAATAGGAGAGTTACAGGTAACAGGCTCTGAAAACAATACCACATTAAAAAAAAAACACGACACTATATGGAATTACTAGTTACTCTGGATTGATAATTTATCCTGACATAAATGCAGTGAAAGTAATGGAAGAACTAATAGAGGAACCAATTAATAAAGAATTAAGGGATAGGAATAGAATTAATGACTGTCAACATGATTTTATGGAAAATAGGTTTTATCAAATAAACCTGATTTAATTATTTGGGGAGATTCCAAGTTGGACTGATAATCACATTGATGTTCTTGGCTTTAGTAAAGCTTTTGACTCAGTATCGTAAAATGTTTTGATGTTAAAAGTTAGAGCTACATTAATACAACAAACACTAAACAGATTAAAAACTGACTAACTTCATGGGTTCAGCAAGTACTAATTAATGGGGCTTTATCACGAGCATTTTTTCCTTGGGGAATTTTGATAGATAAATGTATCTATGGTCAGCACTACATAATACTTCCAGCAAAGAACCCCAAAATAATATACAATATACAATCACTGTTGCTAAAATGTATCAACGTAACAAAGTTTGATGAAATGGCAAATGAAGGTACTTCCAGACGATGTCTGGTAGTTAAGTCCATTCAAGAAAATATCCAGCCCTTTACAGGGGCTGTGTGCTGGAGCTTGAGGACACGATACCGTTCTGGTGTCCACGTGCAGAGCTGACCTTGGACAACCTGCAAGAAGATAGGAAAGGGTCTGGGACACACAATCCCAGATGCTCCAGATCCCCTTTTCTTCTTTTTCCTGGATCCCACTGCCATGTCCAATGCACTGTTGGAGGCAACTGCCTGAATCCTAAATTTTCTGACACTCCTCTTTTTTTTCTTTTTGCAGTGCCATCTTCTAGGGCCTGCCCTTAGATCCTGAGGCCCTGGCTTAAATCCACACCATCTGCAGAGAGCCGCTTCTTTGCAGCCATCCTGCCAGCGACTGCATTTAATTCATAACCTTACAGCTTTGGTGTATGCTATTAAAACTTGAAGCTTTCCCCTTATGTTCTTCAGTCACAGAGCTAGTTTCAGATCACATCCCAAATAACTCTCCACACTCAAACAACGGAAACAGGCTGTTATTTCCCTGAACTCAAACAATCAGGGACCTTTGTGAGGGTGTTTTTCTTCCCCTCCCCTTTGTCATCCTGATATGTCTCTGTCAGATTCTGTAATACACAAAATCCCAAAGAAAAACAAGCACTTATTTCTCCCCCTCCTCCCCACTTCCCCACCCACAAATAAGTGGTATGCTTTTAGTGCACTTAGTGTTCTCAGATTATGTTAAAATATAACAAACATATACTGTTCTAGTCTTTCATGAAAACTTTAAATTGCTATTTCTGGGCTCAATTCAACCCTTGCCTCATTCTGTGATAAAAGGACTTAAAAGCTCTGTTCTAGAATAGAATAGGGTTTGGGTTTTATATAGCATTTTTCATGTTCACAGCATCCCAAAGGGCTTTACAAAGCACTGATGGAGACACTGGAAGTACAGTAAGCGCAGGCAAAGGCAGCATCCATTATGTGCTCGGGGATGGCTCACGCACCCAGCACCCAGCCTTATGTAAGAGCAATGGGTTTGAAAAGGGAAAGGAGCATTAGTCGGACATGAACATTACTTTAATGGGCCACAGGGATGTCCAGGAGTCTGAAATAGTAGGTGGAGAGGAGCAGGAGAGACGGGAAAGTGTAGGGTGCGTGGAGGTGGAGGTGCATTGCTAGAATGAACTGATTTGCTCATGGAGATGGCACCTTCCTGTTTCACATGGGGGAAACCTGGAGATGGGTGGTTTTCCAGGATGGTGGAGGTGTAAGTCACCTGTGTCTGTGAACACACTCACCCCATGAGGAGGTGGCCAAAGAGGGTGTGTGGGGTGGTGTGGGGATGGGGTCGAACAGCTTGCGTGTGGCCAGAGCTGGGACTAAAGGGTGGGAGAGGCCATAACCAGATGGAAAGACTCCACGTAGTGCATGACTCTGGAAGGAGTCAGTGTGGAAAATCAGTAGGAAGGAGGCCATGTCCATTCATGGCTGAATTGTGCACATGTTATCCGTGTACGTGAGCAAGGGAATGGGTGAGAAATCGCGTGCAAGATAAAGGATTAATATGCACCGACATTTATTCTTTGGAGAACAAAAAAGCTTCTAAAGAAAAACAAACAAAAAAAAATGGACTGTATGAGGTATGGTGAAAGGGTAGAGTCTTTCTTGGGAAAAGAGTGCACAGCGGAAAAGAAGAGGTGAGATTGTCAGGGGTCGCAAACCTCACACAGCGCCAGAACACCGCGCGGAGGGGAAGTACACCTCTGCCTGGGGGTACCCCTCAAAGCAAGGCACAGGGATGAAAACTCTTCCCAGAGACTACGTGGTGTGAAAAGGAAAGGTTTTGTTTGAAATTGGCTATGGGATTTCTTGATGTTTGCGTCAGAGCGAGTCAAAAAGAACACATATCACTTTACTTCCACTCACTTATATGCTCCTTTCAAAATCTGGCTTTTTAGGGACTCAGCATTAAAAATAAATGAGAAATTCCTGCTAAAGAATGATTTTTTCAATGCATCATAAAGCATGCATTTAAATGTAGAATATTTTTAAAGATGTAAACGCCTAAAAGATGTTACTTGCTCTGGTAGAAGTGGACTCCTGTTTTAATATCAGTTTTGTCACTAGAAAAGGAGTTGAAGACAAATTGGGGAAAGACAAAACAAAACCAAAAACCACTCTGTAACCTCTCCTTCAATAAAAACAAAATAAAATAATAAATTTAAAGGCACTCCCTCTTCTCTCTCTTTCCTGAAGAAATATGGTCCAAGTCATATTATGAGGTGATGAAGACTAAGAAGCCTTGAATCAGAGATTATAAATGAGAACTTACTGCGATGACATGGAGGTTAGTGCATAAGTCAGGAAGAGATTTGTGCAGGAGACAGAGACCATTACAGTTCTTCATGGGGTTGATAAAAAAAACACAAACCAAACAACAGAAAAACCAGCGACTTATTTCAGATGGAAAATTAGGAGGGGGTCTTATATTTCAGTCCACTATAACTCAACTGAGATAATCGGTAGAACTTTCCTATGTAGACACAGACATCAGCAGTGCCCATTATATAAATGCTTTAGAAAATGTTACAGCACATTCCTATTACACACACTGATGTTACTCCCTCCCTGGCTCCCCAACAGCACTTGTTTTTGAGCAGAACTCTGCGAGAGCAATTTGGGGTTGTGAGGCTTACAAAACCTGTGCTCGTTCTTGCATGTAAAAATGTCCAGATGTTTGGTTTGCAGCTCCTTCGTGGGGCTACACATGACATTTTCTTTACCCTGGGTTATCCCATGAATTATAAAGAAGTGTTTGCTGCAGGCCAGAGAGGACACGTGTCTGAAATGCTGCTGGAGCCCTGGCCTGTGATGCTTCCCATGGCTGCTTGGGAGAGAAGACAACAAGGAGAAAGAGAACGACCCAGGTCACAGAGGGCAACTTCTACCAGACATATTTCCAAAGCCAGAATGTTATAATTCTCAATTATAGGAGATCTCAGCAAATAAATCCACTGATGTTTTATCACTTCACATCAGCCAAGGATCAGACCATCCTACTGCTCCTGGGCTACAGGTATTGTCCTTGGGAGCCAGGATAAAAGTGAGACCTGCACAGCCTG